TTAACTTTTGCCGACCAAAATCGGATTTGGTCGCCGAAGATGTACTTTCAGCTACCAAAATTTTGGTCGCCAAAAAATTTAATTCCCGCCTTAGGGTTTTAACTCTTCCGCGCTAAAAATGGCCACTTTTGACAACTAAACTTATTTTTTAGTCGCCAATTGTAGACTTTTGGCTACTAAAATTTTTTTCGTCACCAAAAAACTTTACTTTTGACTACTAAAATTTTTTTAGTCGGTAAAACCCATATAATTAGCGACAAATTTAGTTTTAGTCACCAATTGTAGACTTTTGGCTACTAAAATTGTTTAGTTGCCAAAAAGTTTTACTTTTGGCTACTAATGTTATTTTGGTTGCTGAAAGCTATACTTTCAGCGACAAAATTTTTTTTGGTCAGGAAATTTAGTCGCCAAATGTGCTTTTTCCTGTAGTGTATATTGAATTTAATTTATTTATTTTTAATCATTTACTTCATTTTAAAAGTTTAGAAAATATATTGGTGTTTTTTATTTTTTCAAAGATGCCATTATAAGCTTGGAAAGTTTTTGGCTTAGTGGCATTTCTCAAAATACTATAAAATATTTGTTTATGACATTTTTTTCCTAAGTGCCATAAAAAGTAATTTGCACCGACCTAATGTCCTGACATTTTTTAAAAAATGTCATTGCTACTAAAGTTGTGACGCGCCAAATTTTTTTTTTGAAACGTCATAAGATTTAAATAACGATAACTCGCTAGATAAAGTTTTAACTACTAATTATGAACTTTTAAGTTCTTACATGGTCAAAGTCCAACAACAAAATAAAACTACAAGTTCACACACAACGTCACAACATAGTTAAATCCTAATACAAGAGATAACAGGATTTTATTTTGATAAAATCTTGACTCTAAGTCAGCCAAGGTTCGATATTGGCAGCAGCTCCAATTTCAGCCTCAGTCCCTTCTTCGACATAATCTGGCATGAAACGCCATGGCAACAAAATATATGCCATGAGTTTTGCAACACAGTAAGAAAACGTAACTAACCTACCATTCTTTTTAAGAGAAAAATAATAATATTCTAAACATGAGATAACAATATAATTATACACAGAAATTACAACCATTAGAATAATTTCCGTAATTTTAATAAATTAGGTGACACTCGAAATCTCACCAAAGAGATTTAACTTACCAACCACTAAGCATGGCAACGGTTAATTTGAAACCCTCCCTTGGTCAAATATTTAAGTGTTACCAACCGTAACTACCAGGGATGCCTACGTCCGGAGTTATATACCCAAGTATTGGCATCCGTGGTCTACCCCAAGGAAACGGTCTGCCAGGGGTAAGTAACCTCCCTGTGTGCCACCTGCACATCCACCCTTATTCCAAAACCGAATACCGAAAAAGGGTCAAATAAGTCCCGTGCCATCTTAGAGTTTCGCAACACAATTTACATGAGAATTCTCAAAACCAGGGCTCACCCTGAACAACCGGTATTAACCGTCAATCCCTTGATTTCATACACTCTTTAAAACCAAGATTCACTCTGAAAACTGGTATTAACCGTCAATTGTTAACTTTGTATGTGCCTTTAATCCTTTCAGTTAATTTTGATATTAATCACAAATGATGTTATACCAACTCATTGAAAATCCCAACATAAAATATTACACATGTCACACAATAATAAATAAATGTACAGCATTTAAATAAACAATTTATTTAAATCATGGTATGAAATAATAATTTGGATACAAAGAAAATAAACCAAAGTCACACACGTGCATGGATTTTTAATTTACAATATTAGACTACCACAATATTAAATAAACCACAATACACCCATACATGGATTACTAATTTACTAAATTTGATGGATTGGACCAACACAATAACTGGTTTTTATCCAAATAAATAATTGAAGTGATGATCTTAAACCTGTCTAGAAATTTTCAGGTTATACCTTAGGTAATAAAAATTATAAATAAATTATTTATACAGTTCTAATATTCAATAAATATGTTTGGGTCATTTTTCAGAAATAAATTCCCAAAAATAAGTTATAAATAATTCTGTAAAATTCCCAGAAATTTTATCACACAGATTTATCACATTTCCTTATTTTAATTCCATGCTTAAATTTATAGATCAAACCCATAATATAAAAATTTATCATGAAACTAGACTTCTCAAATTTCATCTTTTAGTTAGAAATTACCAGATTTGGCTTAGTATAAAATTTTAAATAAATTTTCAAATACATGGTAAAATCTGTCTCACAGTTTCAGATTTAGTTAAAAATTTGTATAAATTCATAGAAAGCTCAAAAATTGTTACCACAATTTCTGGATGAACTAGACATCATTATCAACAATTTTTTAGAAGAAATCATCTCGAAATTTTGAGTGTAAAATTGTCTAAAAATTCGAGCAACATTCTGGCAGATTCAAAATAGACTATTTTCATTACAGTTTCAGATTTAGTTAAAAATTTGTATAAATTCGTAAAAAGCTTAAAAATTGTTGCCAAAATTCCTGGATGAACTAGACATCATTATCAACAACTTTGTAGAAGAAATCATCTTGAAATTTTGAGTATAAAATTGTCTAAAAATTCTGGCAACATTCTGACAGATTCAAAACAGACTATTTTCATCACAAAATTCCTACACATATATATAAAATTTCTATTTATGAGTAGTCATTTTAATCACAAGGAAGTAATCTGAAAGTTACACTAATAAAAAGAAATGAGAGGGTTGAGAGGATTTTTTTACTAAAATCTTCAATTAATGAATCCTTGACCAAATCTTTAACTCCTCTTCAATTCTTCACTTTCCCAAGCTATTTCCTTAGCCTTTCTTTACCATTTCTGGCACATGAATTCTAAGCTTTGAAATCTCTCTCTACATTGTCTCAACTCTTAAACCCTTTTTTTTTTTTTTTGGAAATGCTCTCAGTACAATGCACAATGCACAATACATACACCCCATTCTTTCATTACACACCGCGTGTGCACATGGACACTAACACATTTCATTGAGGGTGTGCACATGGACATTAACACATTTCATTGAGGCTCCAGCACATCACTCACATGCACACACACCCATAGCAGATTTCTCAATACACCCACACCCATAAACACTCTCACTTCTAGACTTTTACATAATTCAATTTATATTTTTGCTTAATTTAATTGAGCAACACTTAATTTTAATAAATCTTGATTAACACATAATTAAATTAATCAACATAATCACAAATTCCACATAATTTAATTGGTCTAATTTGACTTCCCAATTAATTTTGTTTAATTTTTATCATTCTGAATCAGATTTCAAATCAAACTCTCAAAAGGTTTCAAATATCAAATTAAACTTATTGAGCTCATCAATTTTGGTTTCTCAAACCTTTAAGGCCTTCAATTTCAGATCAAACTCAAAATCTTCATTTATGAATTACATATTCAATTGAGCATCTCATAAATAAATTTAGTTCATAATAATCTAAATTATCAAACCTCACAACTCAATTAACTCCAATTCGTACCCAATTGATCAAACCTTAGTTTTATTAAACTGAATCGAATATTTAATTACACTTTCATAGGGTTCAATACTTGAAATTAAACTGATTTAACTTATCAATTTCACCTCCTTAGGCTATTTGGACGTTCAATTTCTAATTCTAAAATAAATCCTTAATAAAATAATTTATAAATAACAAATATTAAACACCCACAAAATTATTATTATTTATTTTTATTTTTTTTCTTGTTAGTGATTGAATTGAATTAATTTAAAACTAACTTTTACACTAATATATATTTCAGATAGACTCTGGATAAAATTAATTAATTTATTTATTTATCTTCTTTTAAAAAAAATAAAATGTGGGTTTTCACAAAAGTTTAGTGGCATTTGTTAGTAAATGTAACGAATATAATTTTTTGTGTCATTATTTTATAAAATGCCATAAAATTGATGTGACATTTCTTTATTGAAATGCCACTAAAGCCTTATATGTTTGTGATTCTGTGACATTTTTCTAAAACATTTAATGCCAATTTTTATTTTTGTGACATTTTCTAAAAACATGTCACTAGTGTAGTGTTACTAAAGTGTAAATTTGTTGTAGTGACATTTTTATTGTAGTGAAGTGGTACTTTTTTTAATTGAAATGCCACTAGAGTCTTGTATGTTTGTGGCTCTATGACATTTTTCTAAAAAATGCTATCAAATATTTTTTTGTGACATTTTTTAAGAACATGCCACTAGTATCTTGTCATTAAAATGTGTTTTTGTTGTAGTGACAATTTGTGAGATAGGATTTATTAGTAAATATTTCAAAAAATAAAAAATTATTTCAAACGTATTAATTTTTTTATCTCATATTTTAATTAAAAAATTAATAAAATAATCTATTCCTAAACTTAAAATTAGGAGGTAACTTTCCTCAACAACTAAGGCCTGAGGATGCCTACGTAACAGTAAGACGTGATCATATTACTAAACAAATAAATAAATAAATTGAAAATGAAGCTGAAAAAAATGATTACGGATGCATGAGGATGCCTACGTAACAGTAAGACGTGATCATATCACTAAATAAAAATAAAAAAAATTAAAAATGCAGTTAAAAAGAAAAGATTACGGTTTGTTGTGACCATCCATACTAACGTTGTATTTGATTGAAATATTTAGTAAATAAAAGAAAAAAATAAGTAAAATTTAAATAAAATATATTTATAAGTCACTTAATTTTACACATATATATATATTTTTTAATTTATTCTCAAATCTCCCACTAAATATACTAAAATGATGCTGAGAAAATACTTTATCATATATATCATAGTCTATTAAACCAAAAAAAAATTCAGGCCAAGTTTGGCAACACCAAAATAATCTATCCTTTTATCTTTTTATCTTTTTTTCATCACATTACTTCTCTACTTTTCTGCATATCTTTTTATAAAAAGATAAAAAATATACTTATTTAGATAATCCAAATCTATCCTCCATATCCATCAAATAGATGCAGCAAATCAAAATCATAACTATTTACCGTACACACTGACACTATATATATTCATTCAAATCCATCCTAAAAAAACAAGTATAATCCAATCTTCATTACAGATTAATCAACCAGACATGGAAGTTACTTTGCCATACATATCTCTCTCTGTTTTCTTACTTCTTGTTGCTTTCAAGTTCTTATCGAAAGCAAGAACACAGAAGAATCTCCCTCCAAGCCCACCGGCTCTTCCGGTGATCGGTCACCTCCACCTCCTCAAACAACCTCTCCACCGCACTCTCCACCAACTCTCCCAAAACCTCGGGTCCATCTTCTCCCTCCGGTTCGGTTCAAACCTCGTGGTGGTTGTATCCTCACCGTCCGCGGTGGAGGAATGCTTCACCAAGAACGACGTCGTCTTAGCCAACCGCCCTCGCGTCGCCTTCGGCAAGTACGTGGGCTACAACTACACGACCGTCGTTGCGGCCTCCTTCGGCGACCACTGGCGCAACCTCCGTCGCATCATGGCTGTTAATGTACACTAAACCTAACCCACTAACCTAACCCACTACATCCACTCCACTAAACCTAACACACTTACCATCTCCACTACCACCCACCACCTCCACTACCATCCACTACCACCACTCACCTACCTCACACCTCTCCTATATAATAGCTTGTAATATACAAAATCAACAACACAACAATCTTGTAATCAAATTATCAATCAATAATATACATCAGTTTATTTTACATGGTATCAGAGCAAGGTTGAGAAGCTAATAATTCTGCTTCACCGGCGGGCGGCAGCCTCGCCTTGGCCGCCCGCCGGACCTCTACACTTACCTTCACTCCGCTGTCACAAATTCCATAACTGAACTGAAACTCTTCCCTCTCTTACTGTCTCGGCTCTCTCAGACCATGACTGTCTGAAGGTGGGTTCCAGGAATTCAAGTTGCTAGAGCGACTCGGGGAAGGGAAAAGCCAACATCGTCTTCTAGTCCAACTCCACCTCCTCTCACTCCATCCACTGGTGTTCTCTCTCCTGTTCTATCCATTCAAAGCTCAGAAGCGCCGGAAAAACCCCTCCGGAATACCACCGCCACAACCGGTGTCGGCCAACTTAACCATCATAACTTAACCATCATCACTATCATCTTCTTCCTCTGATGTTGAGCTAGTATTGAGCAAAATTAAACCATCACTGCAAGGCAAAACAGAGAACCTACTCTTATCTTCATGGAACACCTCTGTTCCTCTCTGTCAAATGGTTTCACCAACGGTTCTTCTCTTGTCTGCAACGACCTCTCTTCTCCACAGTGGACAACCTTTCTCTTTCCAAAGACCCATCTCTCCACCTCTCCTCTACAACTCCCTTCGGCTAGACTCTCAGGAACACTCCCAAGAGGAGCTCGGGGCTCTCAAAATCCAACGAACCTGGTGGAGACAGCGTTGGCTCTCGGGGCTACCCACGCCAGGCGACAATCAACAGGTGAGAAGGGCTCTGGTCATTTCCCTCTCCCCGGTATTGGACAATGCCAAAACCGTGGCCTAATTCACTCCTCGGCCGCTGCTGCAGATTGTGTTGAACATGGCTTTTCTCTCACTAATCTCACCGAAGCATCTCAGATCTGCATATGATGCTCTGTGAATGACAAATAAAAAAATAATATAATAATAAAATAAAAAAAATTAAAAAAAAAATAAAAAAAAATCACAAGAACAAGAGAATCTCTCTCTTCTCTCTCTGCAACGCACATGGTCTGGTTTGCACTTTTCATCATTAATATCACACTCTCTTCCACTTTCTTTTCTTTTTTTCTTTTCTATCACTCTACGACCGCCTGCATGAACCACCCACGTGATTTCCCACTTTTCTTTTCTTTACAAGGGCCACACACACACACACAACACAAAAAAAAAACCCACTTTTATTTTATTATCTACTTCACATACCCACTATTTTAAATAAAAAAAAAAAAAAAAAACCTCTTTTCCCTACCCCATATATATATATATTATCTATATCTCATTTTTTTATTTTCTTTTATTTATTGTTTTTTGTTATACAGAGGGGCACACGTCAACACATACAAAAAAAAAAAAAAAAACAAAAAAAAAAAAAAAACAAAAAAAAAAAAAAAAAAAAACAAACAAACAATTTACAAATTTGCCCAACACTCATATTTTATTCATATCCGGGGCCACCCCGATCACCATACTTTTAAAAAAAAAAAAAAAAAAAAAAAAAAAAACCCACAAACAAACAAAACAATTTGTTTTCTTTTCTGCAGCCGGCCACCAACCGACTCACTTCTTCGCCTATTCGCCGGCCTTTTCTTCTTGCCTCGTCCATGGGGCCCTTGACGGTGCTGCCTCCGTGTTTCCCACTCCACTGGGCATGACCACTATTCCTTGCTCCTCCACTGCAGCATATGGCGCCCTCCAAATCGGAACATCACGGGTGCCTTCCGCTTCAGCTCCTTGTTTCTGCCCTTAGCACGCTCATCCTGCTCGCGCATCCTTATACATGCGTTGGAGCAGAGCCAGCTGGGATTTTAACTTGCTGCACCTCATTTGTCCTACTCTGTAGCCGGTGCGACAGATTTGTGACCGCCGTCATTGATCCACACATGCCTTCAACGTATACTGATTGGCCTCCACATCCGACTGCACCGCCATTTTTTGCTCCACCGACTGCATCGGAAAGTCAACGAGCAACCCAGTGGTGTTTAGTTGAGTTCACGGGACACCGCCACCAGTTCTCTCTCCTGTGTGGACTCGTTGAGATCGGGAAAGAGAGTGAGCAGCCACGGACGACGAAGCCATTTTCTCTCGCAACAAGTGTTATAGAGAGTGTTGACAGAGTATCTTCTCAGCAAAACCTTCTCAGCAAAAACGAAGAGTTTTTCAGAGGATTTTCGCCAATTGTTTGTCTTCGCCTCTGCCTCAGCTCTGTCTTGGTTAATAGCCGAGCAGCCACGCGCATCGCGCGCCTCTTTCTCACCGACAAAACTGGCACCCTTTTCATGGCACGCCTTTTGCATCGCACGCTTTTTGGCACCTTTGTGCACGCCTTTTGAGGGTGCGCGGCAACACCTTTGAGGGCACGACTTTTAGGGGCTCGATATCTACATCCATGTATATTTTTTTTGGGCAACCTATATACACACTCAAAGTGTCTTTTACACCGGTCAGCTTTATCAATCCCTTTTCAACTCAAATAGGTTTCTATCTTCACACCTATTGAGTTTGAGGGGGGTTATACCAGTATAATGTTATAAGCGCCATGGCGCACTCCCTAAGTCACCCCTTGGTGCACCACCACAATCTGCTCAACGGTCCGACATGACCCCATAAACTGTCTTTCTACAACGCGTCTGACACGACCACACAGTGTCTGCTACATCGGTCCGACATGACCCCGTAAACTGTCTTCTACAACGGTCCGACTGACCCCGTAAACTGTCTCTACAACGGTCCGACATGACCCCGTGAAACTGTCCTGCTACAACGGTCCGACATGACCCCATAAACTGTCTTCTACAACGGTCTGACACAACCACACAGTGTCTGCTAAACGGTCCGACATGACCCCGTAAACTGTTTCTACATCGGTCCGACATGAGACCACACAGTGTCTGCTACAACGGTCCGACATGACCCCGTAAACTGTCTGCTACAACGGTCCGACACGACCATACCGTGTCTCCTATCCTGTTTTATTTTATTTATCAGTTTACTTTTCTGTTTTGTTACTCTCTTCAAACTCAAGTTGGTTAGTTCCTATCCTCCTTGAGTTTGAGGGGGGCTGTTAATGTACACTAAACCTAACCCACTAACCTAACCCATTACATCCACTCCACTAAACCTAACACACTTACCATCTCCACTACCACCCACCACCTCCACTACCATCCACTACCACCACTCACCTACCTCACACCTCTCCTATATAATAGCTTGTAATATACAAAATCAACAACACAACAATCTTGTAATCAAATTATCAATCAATAATATACATCAGTTTATTTTACAATGGCGGTGGAAATCTTCTCCACCAGCCGCCTCAATGCCTTCTTATCCATCAGACAAGACGAAATCAAGCTTTTACTCCTCAGATTGTCCCAAAACTCGTCTCGTGATTTCAAAAAAGTCGAATTGAAATCCAAGTTTTACGAGCTGACCTTCAACATCGTCATGAGAATGATCGCCGGAAAGCGGTATTACGGTGACGACTTGTCGAACTACGAGGAGGCCAAGGAGTTCCGGGAGCTCGTGATCGAGGCGTTCAAGTATGGCGGTGCGTCGAACCCCGGCGATTTCTTACCGGTTTTACGGTGGATTGATTATCAGGGCTTAGAGAAAAATTTGGGGAGAATTCAAAAGAAAATGGACGCTTTCCTGCAAGATTTGATCAATGAGCACAGGCGTGACAAGAGTAAGAACACCATGATCGATCATTTCCTTTCCTTGCAAGAGTCACAACCAGATTATTATACAGATGAAATCATCAGAGGGCTTATCTCGGTCAGTGTACTCTCTCCATTCATTTTATCAGTATTGATGGAGACCTCCAGTAGAATAGCTCTATTTAGCTGGCAGTGTAAAAACAAACCAAAAAAAAAATACTAATAATTCAGAATATTAATTTTAGTACTCTAATGAAATACTAATTACATAGCAATGAAAAAAAAAAAATCAAGATCAAAACATTACATCACAGTGAGTGAAACTTACTATCAACTTATTAAAACTAGTTTTAGAACTTAAGAATTAAAGGTCCAAAAAATTTTCAACAAAAAAGAAGACAAAACATAGTAAGATAAAAGGCAAATTAAAACTGTTTTACAACTATAAAACAGGTTTGTTATTTTACTACTTTTTCCGCCCCTCCGAAATGACGACTCCATCTGTTCCCTCTATTTAGTTATCAAAACAACAATATTACAAATTTAGACTTAATTATTAAAAAATTATTTAAAATTATTATCTTATAATTTAAATTTATTTTACATATAAATCTCACAAATTTAATTTTTACTGCACAAATCATTCACCAAAAAAAATTAGAGTGGATAAGTCTAGATCTCCAACTTATTCGTATACAAATTATTGGTGTAAAAATGTCGGTGGTGGTATTTTTTGTGCCAATTTTATTTTTGTTTTTTTCATTTTAGTGTAATAAAAAATTATTTAAAATTAAATATAGATTAAAGATAAAATAATTAGATCATTTGTCTTTTTAATTTCAATATAATTTATAAAGGCGAATCATTAATAGGATTAAATTATTATAATATGAAAAATTAAAGAATAAAACTAATGTAGTAGAATTATAAGAATCAAAATGTCACAAAAGACAAACTACATAAATTATGGGTATAATTTGTCTACATTATTAATTTATTATATATTATTTTGACATTAATTATAGTGTCAAATAAGTATGATTAATCAAATTAACAAAAATGGCCTCAGGTTTAAGATGAGATTTAGAACAATTTCAACAAACATACTATACCAATTAAGACATAAAACTTGTAAGTGAATTCCATCATTTGACATAAAACTAATCTAATATTGTGTTATTAGTAGTGTATGCTAATATCCATAATATTATTAAATTGAGATCTAACACTTTAAAACCAAATACATATGAAGTTTTACCATCACTACATAATTAAGTTGTACTTGGAGCCTTACTGTAAAAATTATACAAAAATATGATTTCCTTAATTTAATTTATTAACATTTAATGATCAGGTCATGATACTAGGAGGCACCAACACGTCTGCAGTGACAATGGAATGGGCATTGTCTCTTTTGGTGAATCACCCAGAGGTGTTAAAGAAGGCAAGAGTTGAGGTAGACACTCATGTAGGCCAAGAGCGCTTGATTGATGAACCCGATCTCTCAAAGCTACATTATCTTCAAGCTATCATTTATGAGACTTATCGATTATTCCCGGCAGCACCACTATTGCTACCACACGTATCATCTGATGATTGTATCATAGAGGGATTCAACGTGCCACGCGACACAATCTTGTTGGTTAATGCATGGGCCATTCATAGGGATCCTAAGGTTTGGGATGACCCTACAAGCTTTAAGCCAGAGAGGTTTGAAGGTGGGGAAATAGAAGGACGCAAGTTATTGCCGTTTGGGATGGGAAGGAGAGCTTGTCCTGCGGTTGGTATGGCACAACGCGTGTTGGGTTTGGCTTTGGGATCATTGATTCAATGCTTTGAGTGGGAAAAGGTCAGTGGGGAGACAATTGATTTAACTGAAGGGAATGGGCTTACCACGGCCAAAGTTGAGCCATTGGAAGCCATGTGCAAAGTGCGTAACATCATGAGCAAGGTTCTCTGTGAAGTTACAAATGATGTTTGAGCAACTTTTTTATGAAACGTTTATGATATGTTCCACGTGTTATTTGTTGCTTTATCTTTTGGTTTTTTGCTATGATGTTTGTGATAAGGAAAATAATATATAAGTCCACTTTTTAAATCTATTTTCTAAACCTAATGATGTGTAAGTTATATAATTGGTTGATGATTAGAGAAGACATGAAAAATAGTTGTTTTAATATTTCAATAATCATTATGTTTGAAAGATGAGTCTAATTTTTGGTTTTGAATAACAATGCTCTCGTGGTAATGAACAAGGCAAAAATTGATTTTTCCAATTGAGTTAAAAGGGAAAATATGAAGTAATTGGAAAATAAGAAAAAAATTATATGCAAATTAGTAAAAGAAAGGAATATCCACACCAAATACAAACAAGCCTTCAAAAAAATTCATAAACATATGAAGGGTTCACTTTAAATTTTTTGATTCTTTTGAACCTTAATCTATGAATCAAATCCTAATTGTGATCGATGATTCTTAATTTTTTTTGAAACTGAAATCAAACCACCCCCTTAAAAAAATCAAACCAAATAGTAGGTTTTTAATTGGTTCAGACAATTTTACTGTTTAACTTCTTCTTCTTCTTCTTTTTTATTTTTTATTTTTTTTTAACACCTTATTTATTTGTTTTGATATTTGTTTGCTATCCAAATTACGTTGGATTCCAGTGTCATAGGATCACATTGCTTGGGCTCATGTAGTATGGATTCAAATAGTACAACTCCAAATGATATTGGGCCTAATATTATGAGTGAAAAAATATTTTGCATAGATCAGGATTAAATTTTTTAAAAACAAATTTCAGTAAAATCAAAATTTGGAAAATTGTTTATAAATCATGATTTTTTAACTAAAAAGTTTTGCAATTAAAATTTTTTTAATAAAACAAAAATTTGGAGAATGGGCTAGAAAACATAATTTGTTAACAAAATAGGCTAAGAAATCTTAACCAAAAAAATTGAAAGTTTATTTATTTATTTTAGTAAGTACGAGTTTGATATTGCTTTTCATTTTTTATTTTCAATTCTAAAAAACACTCATACTGTAAAAAGAGTAATCCAACTTTATTTTATTTTTGGATAAATTATACTGATCTCTCATGAAGTTTAAATAAAATATAGTAAATTTTACAATTTTAGCATAATTATATCAAATTCCCTCAATATTTTAATTTACATAATATTTAGGCCTCGTTTGGGAACAGGCTTTTTTAGTAACTTTTTGGCTAAAATATGATGTAAAAAAAATTAATATGTTTGGGATAACTTTTTAATTTTTTACGAAAAGATGTACAAAAAGTAGAGAGAAAATGAAATCTTTGACTTTTTAGTATAAGTTAGTTTTTTGGGTTTTTTTAGTAACTTTTGGCTTTTAGGCTAAAAAAGCCAAAAAGTGATGTTGCCAAACGAGGCCTTAGTCTTATTTTCATCAATAATTCATTAGTTCGAACTAATTTGGACTCACTTCCGTGATTTAAACCATTTATTTTATACAACTAATTAAGGAAATTATTCATGCAAAAAATTAAGGGTAAATTACAAATACACCTCTTGAGATTTGTTTAAAGTACAGATTGTCTTCTATTATTTAAAAAATTACAAATACTCCCTTATTAGAATTTTTATTTAACATAATTAGCTAAAAAAAGCAAAATTTATAATTGCTTTCTTATATAATAATAAAATTACCTAAATTATAAATTGAAATATATTTATAATATCATTAAAAACAGTTAATTAACTTGATGATTTATTAACAAAATGAGCATTTGTTATGAAATTAGAAATCTCAGGGTATAGTGATTCCAGTTTTTACCCGTCACTTGTCGTATTCCAGACTTGGGTCTGTATGGTTTTGAATGGTTATTCATATCTTGTTTCACTTGTTTTCCCTCTGTTTTGATTATCGGGTTGTAATTGTGTATTTGAAACAGGTTGGTTGTTTGTTTTTCCAAACCTATGATGCCCAGATTTTTGGCTCTTGCGTTCGCGCGGACTTCATAAATTTTGCTCCTCCGCACGAGTGGCTATCCTTGCACTCGAGCGGGATTTGTCAACTCTCAATATTTTAGCAGGTCTGCAAATACTGGAAAAGTGCATTGGACGCTTGAGCGTCCAGTTTCACGCTAGAGCGAAACTTTGTGTCTGACGCTCAAGCGTCACTTTCCACGCTCGACCGGACTGCGTGTATAACAGCCTGTGAAGATGATGTTTTTGTTCACTTTTTCATTTCTCTCTCTCTCTCTCTAAAACTCTCCAAAACTCCAGATCTAGAGTTTCTCTCTCTAAAACTCACTTTCTCTATTCAATTTCATCTAGATCTGTTGATCTCTTCGCCCTAGTGCCTTTGAAAAAAAGGTAGAGTGCTTCAAGATCTTCATTTTGACCTGAACAAACTTGAATTTCGGTGTCTTTGGAGTTTCAACCTTGCTTTGCTCATCTTCTCTTCTTGAGGTAGGGATTTTTGAGCTTCTCCTCAATACCTCTTTATAGATAAACTTGTGGTATTTTCATTATGTTAAAAACCATAGTTGGTGGTTGTTTTTGTTAAAAATCATATGGGTGGATTTGGGTTTAAAATGGTGAGTTTGTGGGTTTGTGTATAATTGGCTGTGGGTTACAAATCATGTTTAGAATGTAAATTGGGAAGGTTTGGTATATCGTTTATTGACTTGGAATATCAAAGAGAAGTTTAATGTTGAATAGAAATGGAGTGTAGCTCGACTTTTTCGCGCCTCATTTCGGAGAGCTCGAATTGGTCCTACAGTTCGAACTCCTATCACAGTTCTGAATCTAATCTCACAAAATGTAATGTGAAACTGATAAACACCAAAGAGTCCAATCTGGCAAATCATTTTGAAAAATTGATTTGAGATCAAATAATGCCAAAATTGGACTGCTTTGCCAGATTACAGAGTCGCCACCTAAATATTTTATTTTGGAGAAATTTAGGAAACCCTAACTCGTGCCAAAGGCCACGTGTCTGTCATCACCAAAGTTGCCTCGGCTTGGGAACTTGGGTACGAGAGGGGAAGGTCCTGAAATGAGCACCGTCGCTTGCCCGATCAAAAGATCGGCCTCTATGATATGTTGTTTTATAAACCTCATGCGTTCGTATCCAGTTATTAGCTAACTTTACTATGTGACGCACGCGCAAGCAAGTATAGACTAAATTGCATGAATTGCAACAAAACAACTCATGTTTGCTTTCGAAAATGGTTTGAATTTGCCACCCTCAAGTGGGCTAAAACGCTGATTCGCCACCAAATAGGATGGGCTTAAAACATGATTTGCCACTTCGCAAAGTGGGCTTAAAACATACATTTGATGAATTGTTCCAATTCAAGCAACGAAGCCTCCATCCACAGACATTCATGCAGTTTAGCATTTAAGCACATAGCCTCATGGCAAGCATACAAATCATGGTAATATGGCAATCACATTTATGCAAGTATGTTAAAGCATAAAGACTTACTGAGTACTCCAAGCCAAAACAAAAACTAGTTAGAAAAATGCATGATCTTAACTATACAAGATGCCTAATGCAACACATGCAATGATGCGATTAATAGGCTCGGCTACCAATATGGCATGTGATTTGATTCAATTTGATAACATGCGATAAACACGTATTCAAAGAAATGTATTGAAATTGTGATGCAGTTTGAATGATGAGCCGAGCCTCGGTGTATGCAAGACAAATGAATGGATGCAAACATGCGAGTATAAGGTATGCTAATTGAAAATGTCCCTAAACTAACCATCGAAAGCGATTAAATAAAAAGGAGAAAGACGTGGGGTTGGAAGACATGCACACATGCACGCACACTTATTACAACATTATGCCCTCACGAAGGAGGGTCCGAATGAATAAGCTAACTAGCCACGCTAATTAAGCTAATTATTACAACACTTGAAACTAATTAACTAACTTATTCTAAGTTAATTAATTACAACATATCAGAATTGAGTAACTGGTTACACTAACTAATTAAGGCAAGTAAATGGCCTCGAGGGTGAGAGAGACATGCATGCTCGGTTGCCTTCCTCCCGAAAATCCACTGCCTTGCCATCAGCTATCTCTGTTTGCACTTATTTAATCTTTGAAAATTGCACCAACTTCCAGAACACTTCTGCCCCACCTCAGGAACATTCTGAACAAACTTTTCATTGATGGCTGGTCGGCTACAGTTGGTGGCTGTCAGCCACTGCTGGTGGCCGGTCAGCCACTATTGGTGGCTGTCAGCCACTCCTTTCTTGGAATTCTCATTTTTGTTGTAACAGAGAGCAAACAGAGGCCAAACAATGTATTCCAAGGAATATATGTATGCACTGCTACCCTCCTTATCATTTCGCAAGCTCGAAGGAGTGTAGCTCTCGACTTTCAAGCCACCAACCAAACATTTTCATGCATGATGGCCAAAGAACCAAGCTTGTGCAAGGTCAATGAATGCATAAACAAGACCAAAACAAAACCATCACCTTATCATGCATGATCAAGGGTAATGATGACCAAGGAAAATGGCACATTTCATCACTATTGAGTATGAAATGTCCCATTTGCCTCGTGTTCGAATTAACATCCGATCCGAACACATGCAATGCAACACGAAAGATGTTTTATCTTGCTTCTTTTACTTGTTCATTTTTGTTTACTCATTTTAGCTTACCAATCCATTCTTTAATTGATTTGTCCAAAAGGTGAGTGTCCTCTAATGGAAAGAGGGCTTAAACCACACGTGTCTTGAGCATGAAAGAGACCTCATGACGTTGGTTAGTAGAAACCCTCAAAAGAGGATTAAAATCATTAAACACAAGTGTCTCAATTCCACACTCAAGCCAACTAGGGGTTCAAAGCTACTTTCGAAACAAATGAAAGAGTGAAGAATGGAGGAAGATTGTAGAGATTTAAAGTGCTAAAATTGTATGTAAGACAACACTAAAGCATGCAACCAACATAAGCAAGTGGTATCCAAGGCCTTACATCACCCAACTAGTGAACCATTACACTATAGGCATGCAATACAAAGCTCAAAAGGCACAAACACTTTAAAACAGTCCTAAGACAGCCTAAAATAAGTTCTAAAACATGCTTAAACTAAGCTAAAGATAG